TTATGCAGATAATTTGGAGATGCGGGGTATCGATCCCCGTACCTCTCGCATGCTAAGCGAGCGCTCTACCATCTGAGCTACATCCCCATTGTTGTTTATAAACATAATAAATTATGTATTTTCATCAATATAGTGTAATGGTTATTTTCCCATCATCTTCATTCGTGAAATATAAGGTTCAAATGGTTGGAAGTGAGAGGAATAAAAGGAAAATTAATAAGAGAAAAACAAGGAGTGGAAATAGCATTTTTTCCACCAACATTTTTCACCGTATTCCTCTCCTATTTTGAGGAGTAACCAATCTAGAGGAATCTAACTTATTTTTCAACTATTTGGCGAGACTCACTAAAATTTCAAGGAAAACAAATTCACCCCAAATGGTAGAATTATAGAAGAATTGAAAGTAATAGTGGATTCCACCCAATTTTTTTCCTCTAGTGTGTCAATCATTTGCACCCATAGATCCTTCATATGGTGAATTGGGGAAATGAAGACGACCAAAATCTCGATCGTTAAAACATTATTAACAATTAAAAAAAAAAACAAGAACCATTATGTGAAGACCTCTTCTTCCACAACATCTAAAACATATTCAAGGCGAAGCTGGTCTTATAGACTTTCTAATGTTTCTGAGAACACTCCACATGAATGTAGATACAAAGAAGAGACCAACACCAGCCACAATGGCTTGTTTCAGACCAAGATTCACCAGTAAATTTACCAACAGTCCAGCCAAGACTACTCCGACGAAATTAGACGAAACAGCAGACCAAAAAGGCATGTCGAGGATCGATGCTATTATAGCTCCTGTCCAAGCACCGGTTCCAGGGAACGGAACAGCTACAAAGAGCATTAGACCTAACCATTGAAACTCTTCCACTGGTCCAGCTTTCTCTTTCGCTCTTTTGAATAAGATGTCGAGTAATTTCGAAGCTGTTTGGCTCTTACCCGCCACGAAAGACGCAAACTTTTTCAGATAAAGTATGATGAATGGAACCGGAACCATATTGCTACACAAAACCCAAAATCATTGTCACTTCTTGTTCGCTTATATAATGGAATCATACGAATATGGACTTGAAATGTTTCCTCTAACTCATCATCATATGAATCAAACCTCACAGATTCAACTAAACAACAGATTACAATTGTCACCAAAGATTCAGCAGAAATGAGAACACTTATTCAACTAAACAACAGAAATGTGTAACCTCAAACATAAAAGAACATTTCAGACATAAGTCATGCTCAAATTTCACACTTTTATCACCATAATCACCAATGACACACTTGCAAAATTATCAAGATTTAAGAGACTAACCCAAAAACAGAGCAGAACGTGAGAACCGTTGGTTTTAGCTGCATCCAATAACCGACGGGAATAGCACCACGGAGCTCAATAACCGGAAGTGTAGCCAAAGCAAACACCACAGCTTCGTCTGGCCAACCAAATCGGCGAAGAGTGGCGGCGATTCTGAGACCAAAGCTCGAAGATTTGATGGAATCAGTGGCTGCTTTCGCATCTCCAGACCTAGCAAACCAAAGCAAAGACAAAGAAGCCCAAAATACAACGCATATCGCGAATTTCACAGGGTTTACGCCAATTGACGAAAGCTTGATGAT